ATCAGTTAGAGAACTTGTTAGCTCAGAGGGAGGGAGAGAGACAGCTAATAAGCTGTCCAGGGAGCCTGCAGTCTGCTGTCAGCCAGGAATCTGACTTGAGATATCTCTTTTAAGGCATTCAATTGATGCCAGAAGTCAATAGATTGAAGCTTTTGAGAAAGGTTTGCCTCTGTCATTTATAAAATAGTAAAACCAACAGTGATCTGGTGAAGTAGGGTTCCAAGAAGAGAGGCTGAGGGCACCTACTCCTTCAAATTAGTGGGAAGGTAAATAGCCAACTATTAGCAGAGTCAGAAAAAACAATCGAGATGGTGAGTGACTATTATAGCAATTTCATGTAGAAGCATACAGTATTGCAGATCCTGAATTTAGAAGGTATTGCACTATTTCATAGTATAAGGCCAGTAAGGTAGAAAGATTCATTCAAATTTGCTTTTCTTCATTATAAGACTAAAGTAATTATTTCCAATGACTCCTTAGGAGGCACATGCTAAATAGTACCTCTAAGAAAATAAGCACATGCAAACCGAGAGATAAAAGAAAGAAAAAAATTATGATGAATGTGAAATTGCTAAAACAGCAAATATTCTAGTTAGTATATTTCAATTTGTAGTTTTGAAAAATTACAAGTTGAAATACAAGAAATTTTTCCAAATGCATTTTTCCATGTAAATACAGGTAACAGTATCATGCCAAAGGACAGCAGATGTTCCAAAGTAACATATTTTAAAAATGAAGCTAAAACAATGTTGTGTGATAACACAATACAGTTTCCAAGTCTTCTTTCCAAAGCAGAGCTTTCCTGATTATAAGTGAGGGAATTATATGCTGCACTTACAGGAGTATGAATTCTATCTACCAGCTGTTTTCCCACATCTAAATACTGTGTTTCTGTGATCCTTCAGATGAGTGTTCTTCTATCTGCTTTTCTATGCATTGGAGACTATTACCACTGAAGTTAACTGCAAAACTATTGACTTCCCTGGATCAGGCCCTGTGAGAAGTTAAATAACTTCAGAGGCATTAGTCAATATTTTGGAAACATATAACATTTCTTCCCTGAAGTTCTCTGATTTCTGGTGAGGGTTTTTCCCCCCCCTAGAGGTGTGTTTATATTACCCTTTCTGCAAACAATTCCTTGGTTTTCTTAAACTCATCCTGCAATCCTTTCTCAGGCAAAACACCCACTACTGGGGAAGCACTAATGGATCAAGTGCTTGTTCAGGTTACCATTCACTTCCATGAAGGAAAGCTAACCAGCTGTGGTCCTTAAGGGCCTCAGTGTGAATAACTCAAATTGTCAATTTTTGATTAAACAGCTACAGTTATAAAGTTTTACTCCACAAAGGTAAGTGACTAGAGTGAAATCCCTGCAAGCTGCATGGGCACTTTTCAAAGACACCATAATAGAGGCCCAACTTAAATGTATACCCCAAATTAAAAAACACAGTAAAAGAACTAAAAAAAAAGAGCCAACGTGGCTTAACAACCATGTAAAAGAAGCAGTGAGAGATAAAAAGGCATCTTTTAAAAAGTGGAAGTCAAATCCTAGTGAGGTAAATAGAAAAGAGCATAAACACTGCCAGTGTAAAAATGTAATAAGAAAAGCCAAAAAGGAGTTTGAAGAACAGCTAGCCAAAAACTCAAAAGGTAATAACAAAATGTTTTTTAAGAACATCAGAAGCAGGAAACCTGCTAAACAACCAGTGGGGCCCCTGGACGATTGAGATACAAAAGGAGCACTTAAAGACGATAAAGTCATTTCGGAGAAACTAAATGAATTTTTTGCTTCAGTCTTTACGGCTGAGGATGTTAGGGAGATTCCCAAACCTGAGCCACCCTTTGTAGGTGACAAATCTGAAGAATTGTCACAGATTGAAGTGTCACTAGAGGAGGTTTTGGAATTAATTGATAAACTTAACAGTAACAAGTCACTGGGACCAGATGGCATTCACCCAAGAGTTCTGAAAGAACTCAAATGTGAAACTGTGGAATTATTAATTATGGTTTGTAACCTGTCCGTAAGATAGCTAAAAGATATCCTGTCCTAAAAGATAGCTAATGTAACGCCAATATTTAAAAAGGGCTCTAGAGGTGATCCCGGCAATTACAGACCTGTAAGTCTAACGTCAGTACAGGTCAAATTAGCTGAAACAATAGTAAAGAATAAAATTGTCAGACACGTAGAAGAACATAAATTGTTGGGCAAAAGTCAACATGGTTTCTGTAAAGGGAAATCATGTCTTACTAATCTATTAGAGTTCTTTGGAGGGGTCAAACAAACATGTGGACAAGGGGGATCCAGTGGACATAGTGTACTTAGATTTCCAAAAAGCCTTTGACAAGGTCCCAAACCAAATGCTCTTATGTAAATTGTCATGGGATAAGAGGGAAGATCCTTTCATGGACTGAGAACTGGTTAAAAGACAGGGAACAAAGGGTAGGAATAAATGGTAAATTTTCAGAATGGAGAGGGGTAACTAGTGGTGTTCCCCAAGGGTCAGTCTTAGGACCAATCCTATTCAACTTATTCATAAATGATCCGGAGAAAGGGGTAAACAGTGAGGTGGCAAAGTTTGCAGACGATACTAAACTGCTCAAGATAGTTAAGACCAAAGCAGACTGTGAAGAACTTCAAAAAGATCTCACAAAACTAAGTGATTGGGCAAGAAAATGGCAAATGAAATTTAATGTGGATAAATGTAAAGTAATGCATATTGGAACAAATAACCCCATATATACAATATGATGTAATTTAGCTACAACTAATCAAGAAAGAGATCTTGGCGTCATCGTGGATAGTTCTCTGAAGACGTCCAAGCAGTGTGCAGCGGCAGTCAAAAAAGCAAACAAGAGTTAGGAATCATTAAAAAAGGGATAGAGAATAAGATGGAGAATATCTTATTGCCCTTATATAAATCCATGGAACGCCCACATCTTGAATACTGCGTACACACGTGGTCTCCTCATCTCAAAAAAGATATACAGACACCCCCCAACTTACGCAATCATTCCATTCCGGAAAGCCTTGCGTAACTCGAATTTTGCATAAGTCGGAAACATATACTCATATGTTACGCAAAAATTTCCACAACTCAGAAATCCTATTTCTGGTTTATGGAACTTTTTCCATAAGTGCGAATTTGCAGAAGTTGGGTCTTGGGTAACCCGGGGAGCGTCTGTACTGGCATTAGAAAAGGTTCAGAGAAGGGCAACTAAAACGATTAGGGGTTTGGAACGGGTCCCATATGAGTAGAGATTAAAGAGGCTAGGACTTTTCAGCTTGGAAAAGAGGAGACTAAGGGGGGATATGATAGAGGTATATAAAATCATGAGTGGTGTGGAGAAAGTGAATAAGGAAAAAGTTATTTACTTGTTCACATAATATAAGAACTAGGGACCACCAAATTAAATTAATGGGCAGCAGGTTTAAAACAAATATATGGAAGTTCTTCTTCATACAGTGCACAGTCAACCTGTGGAACTCCTTGCCTGGGAAGGTTGTGAAGGCTGGGACTATGACAGGGTTTAAAAGAGAACTAGATAAATTCATGGAGGTTAAGTCCATTAATGGCTATTAGCCAGGATGGGTAAGGAATGGTGTCCCTAGCCTCTGTTTGTCAGAGGGTGGAGATGGATGGCCGGAGAGAGAGATCACTTGATCATTACCTGTTAGGTTCACTCCCTCTGGGACACCTGGCATTGGTCACTGTCAGTACAGGATACTGGGCTGGATGGACCTTTGGTCTGACCCAGTATTGCCATTCTTATGTTCTTAAATCATAAAATTGGGTTTTCTGAGTTACAGCCATGTCACACAATATGCATATTACACCAAAGCAAGAGTTTTATTTTCCATGTATGCCCCTTAGTGTAAATTATCTGTGAGTATGACCTGCCCACTGGGATGCAGAGAAAAGGAGGCTTGTTTCTAAGAGGTTTCTGCTCAGTCTGCAGATTAAAGAGGGAAATATTTTGCCATGGAAATCTCATGCATAATTGTAAAAGGAAAACTGCACTTGGTTTTATGGAGTCGCCTTTAAACGGATTAAGGAGCCTGCTAAACCTTGTCTTCTGCTGCAAATGAATTAGCTACTCAGGAGCAATTAAAGCAGCGCTCAAGCACGGAGATAAAGTTGTGCCCCCCGGTGACCTTCTGCTGGAGGAAGCGGCGTTTCGACTGGCAGGACTCGGGCAAGCAGACAAGCTGCTCACCGAGTCCCAGTACACCGGCTCCAGGCTCTGCACCTCCTGTCCACACCAGTACTCCCCCTACGCCCCAAATCAGAACACTGCGAAGCCGCCCAGAGCCACATCACCCCCCACCCTGTGTACACAACCCCGCACCCCCAGCTCCAAAATACTGTCTACACGCGCCCAGCACTCCAACCCGAATCCAATGCTCCAGCTCCCCTCCCCTCCCAAAACCAACCCCCCCTCCCCCGCCGCCCAATCGTGGGCTCCGGATCCCCCCTAGCCTGAGCACCCGCCCGCACCCCCGTCCGAGTGCACCTTCCCCTGCCCAAGGCCAGCTCCCTGCAGCAGATGCTCGGACCTCTCCGCCCCAGACAAGCCCTCCAGAGCCGAAGCCCAGCGGCGGCGATGCACCTGCTCCGGCCCCGGGGAGCAGGCGGCTTTCCGAAGAGTTCTGGCCCCCGCTCGCCCGCAGCCCTGCGCCCACCGAGCCCCAACTTTCCCAGCTCCCCGAGGAGGCAGCAACAAGCCCCCCGCGCCGCGGGGAGGGAGCTGCTCCCAAACCCCTGTCCCCCCGCGCAAGGGGCAGGCAGGGGAGCCCCAGCCCCTTCGCTCCGCGCGGGGAGCCGAGGGGGCCCAGCCCCCAGGAGCTGCCGAGGGAAACAAACTCTTGCTGCGGCTGTTCACTTGCTGGAGCCGCGATGTAAACAGGCCAGACGGAGGCTCCGGCTCGCCCCATCCGCATGCACCGAGCGCCCGCTCAGCCTGGCGCCCCTTTCCCGGCGGCGGGGGGCAGGAGGGCTTACCGTAGGGAGAGGTGGAGGCTTCCCCCTTCCTGGCCATCTTCCCCCGCTGCCCTCTGTGCTGGCGGAGCCTGGAGCCCGGGCGCCTCTTCCCCGCTCCTCAGCGCGCTCTTTGTTGCTGTGATGGCATGGGAGGCAGCAGCGGCCGGGCAGCCTGGCGCTGGGCTCCGCTCCGCTGCTGCTGCTGCCGCTGCTCTTGTCCCAGCTCCTGCGCCCAACACTGACCCCTCTTGTCCCGTCTGGGCGCCAACCAGCCACTGCGCCGAATCTGCGGGGGCGGCGTTTCGGCAGCGGCAGGCAGGGGAGAGGGAGCCGGGGGAGCTGTGTGCTCGGAGGGAGCCAACCCGGGCTGGCCTTGCAAGGGCGGGGGGGGGGGGGGGGGGTGCGTGTGACACCTCCTGCAGCGCACGGACCCCACACTCCGCGCGCAGAGCCCCCCTCCCCCCACAATGCAGCAGCAGCACCACGCAGGCGGCCCGGGAGCGCTGCACGCCCCCCGCCCCAAAAAGCAGCCTCCCTAACTTCTCCTGCAGCCTGGCCCCCGCTGGCACGATAACTTCGGCAACTCCTGAGCAGGGCAGCGGGGCCTGCCCTGGGGGAGCGAGAATAGGAAGGTAGCGGCGTAACTCAAACGCACCTTGTTGGGCGTGGGAGGTTGCACTAGGAAGATGGAAGTTACAAAGCCCATCTGGCTTCAAGGGTGGAGGCCGGAAGCTGAGCTGCTGATGGGGGAGAATCGGTTCAGCTGAGGACAGCAAGGAGCGCTCTCCCCGTCGGAAGAGCGCCTCTTGGAAAGATTGGCAAGCTGTGTCGTGTCCACAGGGTCATACTGTTGCTTGAGACATTTTGTCACGCATAGAAACTATGCCGAACTCACCAGCAGTTTGTTGCTTGAGCCTTTGGCAAGTGGCCCTTGGACTTGGAAAGTTTCCTTTCCATTTTGTTATGCCATGATGGAGCTGTTCTTTCCTCTCGTGCTGATGAGTGTCTGGGACAGCCGGGTTGTGTCTTACCACGAGTCAGAGAGCTGTGTCCGGAGAGGTAGAAGGGGCATCCTGTATGCTTTCCCAATGGCCTCTGGGCTGAGTGCGGCGGAACTTTTCCAAGATTTGCACGTGGAGATTTGTCATTCTCCTGCTCTGAATGCATTTCATGATCAGGTAAAGGGCCAAGACCCATCTCAGTCCATGCATCATCCCAGCAGCAGTGTACGTTAGCTATGACGATAGGAACCTTCTCTTGTAGCAGCTAAAGGGGTCACTCGGGAAGAACGGGGAAGGCTTAATCCAGTGCTGAGCTCCATTTTGAAAATCAGTATGGCTCAGTCAGTGCTGCAGCAAAAGGGCCCTGTAATCGAATCCCAGCCTCAGATTTACAGTTTAGTCCATTGTTAGCACGGTGCCATTAAGATGATTAAGCAGTACGTTTCTGATCGCTGGTCCCCCTTCCCCCTTTTGCAATATCCCTATGTAATTCTTGACACAAGCCTGCCTACAAAACCAAGATTTATAGTTTGTCGGTATATAAAGAAAAGACATTAGGGGAAGGATACTATCCAAAGCCTGAAGGAAAGAATGCCTATGTCAATACTTTCTTTGAAAAGCAGGATGAGATCCTCAAATCAAGGTGCTAATAAGTGCCAAATAATATTACTTATTATACTCATGTGCATGTGAAAACTAAACTATGGGAGCTGTTCACATACATTTACTGAGACAGCAGGATAAAAACACAAAAGGAAGACCATGATTTTCAGTTATTTTACCTACAAGTTTTGAAGTAATAGCTGCAATCAGTCATTCCTATACATTCTTCCCTGTGCATTGTGAGGGAGTCAAGTTTCACCAGGTTATGGCAACGTTTGTTTTCCCTTTGCAATGCCGTTACAGCCAGAAGAGTTACTGTTCAACAGCTCTGATACCTGTGTGTATTCTGAATTCTAGCATTTTATATTGCTTTCAAAAATAAGATTTTGCTACTTTTTAGCACTGCAGAGCCACTGCAACATTGGGACAACAAATAAGATTCTTCCTTGGCTCAGGTAACATCAACAGATCTGTTCACTAAATCTCTGTTGCCAAAGTGGCCTGATGTATAAGGCAGAAAGAGAACACAATCTAACCTACAGATTCTAGGTTGAGATGTCTGGGCTAGCAATTAGAAAACCCATCTATTTACACCATGGGCATAGACAACTGGGAGCTTGGGGGCCTGAGCACCCCTTCCTCCCCCCCCCCCCCCGCCCATTAGGGATTGTGTTAATAAATAAAGGAAACATGAGTTTGGAACATAAACTTGTTAATTAAAAGTGGCAAATTTAATCCTGGTACAAATTTAATCCTGGTACAAAACTACTCATTAGAGTGAGATTCATCAGATATTATTTTATTATTTTTAATTCTCACCTTTGTCAGTCCGTCCCTCCACTAATGCAAGTTGACACCACACCATTCTATTTTGTTGCGAGCACGTTCTTTCCATTTCTGGCCAAAGAGTTTTGTCATGGGATTGGCCCAGAGCATTTTTGGTTTGCCCAGCAGTCACTTGTGGTCTCTGGGAATCCAGTCACTGATGCAGGTTATCCACCTATGGTCTTGCCTGCGGACTACATGACCCGCCCATCTTCGCTTTGCATCGTATATTGCCTGCACCAAATCGGTCACCTCTGTACGCCTTCTGATCTCCTCATTCAGTATATGATCACAGAGCAATATCTTACACATTTGCCTTTCCATTGCTCTCTGGGTGACAGCGAGTTTTTCTTCCTCTGCTTTCATCATTGACCAGCTTTCCGCTCTGTATATCATTGCTGGCAGAACCAGGGAGTTAAACAGTTCTTTCCTTTTCTTCCTGGGCAGTTCATCATCCGTTAGAGACGCCTTTATTTTGTTGAAACTTGCCCACCCCGCATTTCACCTCCTACTGCATTCCCCTTCGAATGAGTTGTCTCTGCTCAGCTGCTGACCCAGATAAATATATTTGTTGACCGCCTCGATTTCTTTCCCGTTTACAGAGATGATTCCTTCTGCACAATGCTCGTTCTGCATCCACTTGGTCTTCGACGTGTTCACTTCTAACCCAATATCATGAGAAAGTATTTGCAGTTGCTGCAATTTGTTCTCCAGTTCTTATGTGTCCTTTAATTAATTCTGCTTCCCCCCAATTAAAAAGGTTGTCTAGGTGCCTGTTACAAGTAAAGTGAGCAAGGATGGTCTCAATATCACTGAAACAGTAAACATGGAGCTCTGCAATACCATTTATAAAGTCACTTTTCAGAGCATAACCACCTTTAGTGGTAAGAAAATGGGTAGGTTAGAGAAGGGCTGAATTCCTGCTCCAAAAATCTGAATTTAGCTTATGCCCAGGGCAGGTTTTCTCTCAAAGGAGAGGGGCCCAGAACATGGGCAGGGCCAGATTAACGCAGGGGCTTAAGGGGCTGCAGCCCAGGGCCTCGGACTAAGGAGGGCCCCCGCAAAAATAAATCCATAATTATATACAATTCAGTGGTCACCACCCTGTCGATCACAATCGACTGGTCGATCCTGGAGCTTCTGCCAGTTGATCGTGATCTCTGGGCCACTAAAAGTCCAGCGGCGCAGCAGGGCTCAGGCAGGCTGCCTGCATGCCATGGTCCCACATGGCTCCCGGAAGCAGACGGCTGCTGGCACGTCTCTGCGGCCCCTGGCGGGGGGCGAAGGCAGCTCCGCGCACTGCCCCCGCCCTCAGCACTGTCCCTGCAGCTCCCATTGGCCAGGAACCGGCCAATGGGAGCTGCTGGGGAGGCACTTGCGGGCACGGGCAGTGCACAGAGACACCCTGTCCCTTTCTCCCCAGGGGCGTGCAGAGACGTGCCAGCAGCTGGCTGCTTCCGGGAGCGGTGTGGGGCTATGGCAGGCAGGCAGGCAGCCTGCCTGAGACTTGCTGCACCGCCAGCCAGGAGCCACCTTTGGTAAGCGCCTCCCAGCCGGAGCCTGCATCTCTCACCCCCTCCTGCATCTCAACCCCATGCCTCAGGTCAGAATCCCCTCCTGCACCAAACACCCTGCCAGAGCCCACACTCCTCACCCTCTCCTGCACCCCAACACTCTGCACCAGCCTGGAGCCCCCTCCTGCACCCAAACTCCCTCCCAGAAAAAAACTAATATAACAGCTGTTCTAAGGTAAGAAGTAGGCTATTTTGAATTAACTTAACTATATTCCACATGTTTTAAGACTGAAATGTAACCACAGAATGGCTTTATGTTAATTAAAAGGCAAGTTTAGTATAGCATTAATAGACTTGATGCCATAATTGTGATCATTTTGTTTTAAATTAGGAAAAAGACTTGTATACATGGGCCCCACAAAATCTAATAGCCCCGCGCCCACAGGAGAGTTAATCCGGCCCTGAACATGGGGTGAGGAGGGGGGGAAAGAGGGGAGATTTGCCTTCCTCCTGCCTCAGTTAGCAAGGATTGATACCCCTATGTGTTGGGATAAGATGTTCCCTCAGAACAGTGGTTCTCAACCAGTGGCTCATGGGCCGTTTGCAGCCCAATCAGCATACAGCTGCGGCCCATGTGACATCCTCAGGGCCATAGACATAGTATATATATTGTGTGGCTGCAGCCCATATAACACATAAAGAGCTGCATATGCAGCGCACAATGGTAAATAAGTTAAGAACCGCTGCCTCAAAGTGACCCCATTTCATCAAAGTATGTAAATGTGTACTTGGCTTTGGGTGCATGCATCAGGACTTTGCTGACTCAGAGAGTGCTTGTCTTTAGTGCAAAGTTAACTCAGGTTCTTACTTGAGTGTTGCCCCTAACCTAAGTCCCATCCACACTCAGAAAACTCTCACTCCAGTATAGTGGGGTTTTACACCTGAGCTGGGAGGGTATGTGTAAGTGTATGTGTACACTGCAGCTGGGAGCAGCCTCCCAGCTAGGTAGACAGATTGGCAGTAGCTCTGCTGGAGCTAACACACTAAAAATAGCCATGTAGAAGTTGAGACTCAGGCAGCACTCAGGCTAGCCACCTGAGTTCAGCCCAGGAGATCAGGGGGCCTTAAAAGCAGGAACTGCAGTCCCAGCTGCAACCTCTACACTTCTATTTATAGAAACCAGAGGCAAATTAGCTTGAGTCTGTCTGTGTCGGCTAGGAGGGTCACTCACAGTGGCAATGTAGACATATGA